ACTCTTTTACCAACGAATAGTGGGATTGATTGTCACATTATAACGCCCCCACGGCTGAAAGGGCGAGCATGTTTGATGGGACGGGAATAGAGAAAAAGTATAGTCAATAATCTTTGCTGAAGAACATTTCTTACAAGTGTATGAAACAAACAAAAAATGACAGAACTTATGCTTATCCAACGTTAGTAATTAAAACTAAAGTGAATAAAATCCATTCATAGCCTAGGGTTTAGGTGTCTTAATGCATAGAATTTCAACTTGAATGGTTTTGTGAAGCTAACGTGTGCGTTAAATAGTTAACTTAAGAATAATTTTGAAGAGTTTAAATTGAAAATTTATATTAAAATGTGCAATAATAAAGTTAGCAGCTCACAAGTAACAAAAATGAATTAATTTGTCTATATGTGGACGTCAGAGTATTTTTCTAGGCATGCGTAGGTATGAGGAAGGAACTGGTGCGATCGCACCGCCTGAATTTCACCCATATATATTTATATAAAATATATTTAAAAGGTGTAAAACTACATCAAAATACACCTTTTGTGTTAAGAATTACAATATTCTCCGAGAGAGCATGCTCTCGGATCAACAGAAAAGAGCCACTCATTTTCTATTTCTTCCAAATAGTAACCTCCCCCCATCTTATAGATTTCTGCCTACACCCTTGCCAGGTACAAGTTATTTCTGTTGACTGGGTATAAGAAGTTAGTCATTTGTACCTATATTATTAATAGAACACGTGATCTTCAATTAGAAACTTTATTATATTTCTCATACTGGCTTGCGCAGCAAATGAAATGTTAACTGATATCCTAAAGACAAGAAAATGATCCAGTGAGTTAAGAACAATTAAATTTCTGATTATAAACTGAGTCTTACATAGTTTTAATGAAACTTAGCTCCTGCTAAATATTCTAAAACGATGTTGTTTAATTCCTTTAGCATAAAAGCTACTCAGCGGGATATCTGTGTTCTGTCCATCGTGAGGGATCCAACCCCGGATCTTAGCATCGTAAGCCCGTAAACATACAGCTGACCCATCAGCTTCAAAATGAAAACAGTAAGATAAAATAACTTGGAAGATTTTATCCAAATGGCACATCATGCGCAAGGAGGATATACGGTCACGTCAAAAAATTTAGGATTCAAGTACCAGATGACCAGAGGGAAGGCAGCTATCAGAAACATCCACTACCAAACGGTCTTTCTTCAGTTTTTTGAGCAAAATAACCGAAAGTGCGAAACGAGTTCAGAGACATCACGTCTCGAACCTTGTACTCTTCAATCCGCAGCCCGTCACCGTAACAATTGGGCTATGCCTGAACTTCTAAAATATATACTAACAATAAAAGCAAAGTGACGAAGAAATGATGCACTAGTGGAGAAATATTACATGAATTTTAAACAAAGCGAGTAGATACTACATTATTTTATGGTACTGTAAGACTCCAAAAGGTGGATGTTCGCTTTGTTGATCTAAATTGCTAGTCATGGCAAAGTGTTATTCGTTTAAATAAAGTATCTTTATATAAACGGCTGTTTCGTTAGATTTTTCTTATTAGTCGAGTGGCAATTTTACATATTCAAGAGAAATTCCAGGTAAATAAATGAATAAACTATAAGCATAGACTTGTAAATAGCTGTATGTTTTTTAGTGGAT